ATCTCCCTATACTGCACTTGTGCGCTGGTCGTGTCCCCCCAGAAGACGTGGGACAGCCCACCCCGGCAAATCCGGTGCGGTGGAGGAGGATTCTCCGGTCGCTGAACGACCAGTACCTCCCTAGGGTAATTCCTTTTTTCGATCAGCCATTTCATTGTGTTCCTTTTTACGGGTGTGGTCCCGAACTCCCGCCAACGACGACGAAAAGGAAAGAAAAATAAACCAAAAGACAGAAAGACAAAGATAGAAACAGACAGAGAATAACCAAAACAAATAAACACCAAAATAATTGAAATAAAACAAAAACGAACACCAAACAAACCAAAAACAAAAGAACAAACGAACCAAAAATAAAAACGAAGAGAAAGTTGGGGGGGTTCGCCGGCTCCGGCAGCCTCGACTTTGTCGAGGCATGGGAACCGCGAACACGCCCAACCTGCCGGGCTACTGGCCGACATAGTAGCCGTATCCCGAAGGAACGACTACTATCCCGCCCGGGGCGGACCAGAACCAAACCATTGCTCGGCCACCGTTCCCCGCGGACGTATCCACGAGGATGGGGAAGCCTCCCAATGGCAGGCCCATACTAGGAGGTTGCCCGACCCACGCCCCAACCCCTAACCTAACCTAACCTAACCTAACCTAACCTAACCTAACCTAACCTAACCTAACCTAACCTAACCTAACCTAACCTAACCTAACCTTTTTTTTTTTTTTTTTTTTTTTTTACGTCAGGAAAATCCATCATGGAGAACCATTCCCTTAGGGAAGAATGGATACTGCCGGACTCCTACCTGCTAAAAACCTGACGACTGTTCCTCCTCGACATAATCGCCGTGGCCATGGGATCGCACAAGGCATTCTCCAAGACCACCGGCATGGTTCCCATCGAAGGGACCTTCCATCTAGGCGTGCAGGGAACAGTCTCTGCACGCCACCTCCCAGACCCTAATGCCTCCCCGGTGAGCTTCGGATTGCCCTAACAATCCTCCACCCTAGGGTCAAGTATGGATTCGATGCCCACACTGATCAGACTCAGGTGTCCATCGAATCCCCCCCCCCGCCGGTAACCTGCGCCGCGGCTGCGGCTCTGGCCTTTGGCAAGCGGCACTGTTTAGTGCTGCCGACTCTGTGGTCCGACTTGCGGTTAGCCGCAGCGCAGTACCAGCACTTTGGCGATGGCTCGGCACACCTCGCGGCCTTGTGGCCACCCTGACCACAGCGATAGCACTTATCGCTGCAGTCTTCCCCCGCAGTGCACCGTCGGCCCACGTGACCCGTGAGCAAACACCGGTAGCACCGCATGGGTCTCGGGTCGAGTGATTGCACCCGAGCCATCGTCCAACCTACCTTCACCCGACCTGCCTCGATCAGGGCTTTGGCTGCAGCGACTGGGCATCGCACCCAGACTGTGCCCACACCAGAGGGAGTACGCCGGACTTCGCCCGCCTTAACGCTCAACTCAGCGCACCCCCCCTGCCGCACTACTGCGGCGACGACGTCTTCGGCGGTTGCCGAGTCGTCCAGGTCACTAATCCGTAGTTCGGCGGATTTCTCCGGCCTAGTGACCCGGACTCTTCCTTCTGGGACGATCTCCGCCAGCCTCGCAGCCAGCGAATTCGCCTTGTCGCCGGTGTCGGCGCCTGGCACCTCCAGGATGCGACACCCAGTCACACCCAATCGGAACCTTAAGTCGGTGATTCCGAGGTCGGCTAGGGAGATCTTCTCCTTCGCCTCTCGTAACACCGACTCATAGGTCAGCCCTCCTTCTTCAGCTGCCGGCTCAATCGTTATAGCGATCGCCGACGAGCTTGGAGGCTTGAGCCTCCTCTTCTTTCTGCGACGCTCTGCCGCAGCCTTCTTCTTCGCCGCTTGCTGCTGTAATGCGGCAGCCGACTCAGCGGTGTTCTGCTGAGTGGCAGGAGCCGACTGGGCATTTGTCGTCCGGGACTTCTTGCCGCGCCGTACTACCGTCGCCCATCCCTCCTTATTTACATTGGGCGGCGGCGGCGCTCCTGCTGGTTCTTCGGCCCTGACGACTGGTGCCGGCTGGCTAAGCGAGCCCTTCTTTTTTGTACCCGCAGGGGCTACCCGTTTAGTTGGCAGCTGGGGGGCGTCCTTCGATGTACCCGATTTGGGTATAGGTCTCCCGCCTCTGACCAGAAGAAGGCCCTCTTCCAGTTTAGCAAACCGGGGGTTAAAAAGCTCCCCGATCCGCCTCACTATCCGAGTCTCCGCATCTTCTGTCGGCTCAGGCCCCACAGATGGAGCAGGGGCCGGTGTCCCGTCAGGTGTCTCCATAGGTAACGGCGCCGACTGTGGCGCCGTCCCAGTCGCTGCCTTCTCCGCCTCTCGTCTCAGCTTCCGCAGCTCGCAGTTGCCTGCCATCACCTGCTGCTTCAGCCGGACGTTTTCGGAGCAGTACTCTTGTACCTGGCGCTCCAGGTCTTCGTTATTCGTCTGAAGACGACCCATCTGTGTATCCGGAGAGGAGTACACTTGGCGCTGTAGAGCGATCATATCAGCGCGCATCTTTCCACATTCCTGGCGCATCGCGTCTAAGAGCTGGCGTTGATTAGCCAGTTCCTGCGATAGGCGGGCATTCTCTCTGCGGAGTTCCGCACACTCTACAGTGGCTGATCGTTCGACCAGCGTCTCGGACGCCGCCCGGATGGTCTTGGCAGCGTCCTTGATGTTTTTAATAACACCGCCTTTCAGATTCTTAGACCTGGCAATTTCCTCCAGAATCGCCGTAATCCCCTCCTCAATCGTGGCCCCAAGCATATCCGCGCGTTGCAGCTCCTTCTGGTGGGAATCTCCGGCAACGCACGTCGAGGGTCTTGATGTTCCGGCGACTGATGCCGCCTCCTCCATAGTCTTCTTTTGGGGGATGGCCTGAGTAGCCTTTGCCCCTGTCTGTCCGGTAGTAGTACCCATTTTAGAGACGGGTGTCTTCTTAGCCGTAGATGTTTTGGCGGGCTTCTGCGCCGGAGCCTTAAATATAATTTCAGGCGCGTCATCGTCCGAGTCCAGTTTGGATTTCTCAACTATTCTTCTCTTTCGTTGAGACCTTCTTTGTGGCATAGGTGTGCCACTTATGTTGCTGTCCATATCCGTTTCCGAGTTTAGGGAGAGACTCGAACCAGAAAATTCCGAGTCCAGTCCCTCCATAGCTTCTCCTTCCAACTCCAACAATAGCCTCTCCACCATTTGTCTCCTCTCTATCTCCACATCCAACTCCTCTTCTCTCTCTCTCTCCCACTCATGGCCTAGGTTGTCCCCCCCAGAATACATGGGACTGCCCACCCCCGGCTGAACCGGTGCGGTGGGGAGGGATTCTCCAGCGCCGCTGGTACCCTCCTGGGGTATATTCTGTTTATTAGCCTCTGCCATGTTCTCTTTGTTCCTTTTTTTACCCGGGTGAGGTCCCGCTGAAGGCGAAAAATGAAGACGAAGAATAAGGGGACAGAAAGAATATTGGGATAGGGAAAGGAAACAAACAAAACAAAACAAAAACAAAAACAAAACAAAACAAAATAAACAACAAAAGGGAAGAGAACAAAAAGAAGAAGAAACCTATTTACAAACTAACCTAAACTAAACCTAAGTATTTACACTATTTACACTTTTTTTGGGTGAGTGCCGAATACGACACCCACCCCCTATTCTACCCTAAACTATGAGCGAACGCCGAAAACGACGCCCGCTCCCTACCCAATAATTCATTTGACGCCGAAGCTGTACACCACCACTTTTATTGGACGAACGCCATAGGCAGCGCCCATCCCCTACTCGCCGGGCTACTGGCCGACATAGTAGCAGTATCCCGAAGGAACGTCTACTATCCCGCCCGGGGCGTACCAGAACCAAACCATTGCTCGGCCACCGTTCCCCGCGGACGTATCCACGAGGATGGGGAAGCCTCCCAATGGCAGGCCCATACTAGGAGGTTGCCCGACCACACGCCCCAACCTTTTTTTTTTTTTTTTTTTTTTTTTTTTAACGTGTGGAAAATCTTCAAAAGACCGTCACCTCGCCGGAGGGATGGCGAGGTGGTGTGTGAGACTTGACTCACTAAAAACCACACGGTGTACCTACGAGCGCCTATGCCGGAGCCAGGGGATTCGCAAGTGCATTCTACCCCAGCTCCGACGGCGACGGCCCGCCCTGTAGATGTTGTAGGGCAGGCCCCATCTCGTTTTGTGGTTAGGGCGACCTATTTCGCCCTACTCCATTGTGGAGGCGTGTGGGTACACGCGCACACCTCCGGGGCCTTTGGATTGGGGGACTGCCTCCCTCAAGGCAGTCACCCCGGCCCCAGTGGGGGATAGAGGGGGCGGAGTTGGATACGCCCCCACCTCTAGGCCTGGCTCTTCTGCGGCGGAGGGAAGCGGGACGAGCTGACTCCCGCTCCCTTTCCGCCGCCTCCTTCCGCGAGATAACTTCCTCGCAGAAGGAGCTCACCGCCAGCCACGATCTCTCGCTACTGACCATCCTCCGAACTAAATTCGGCAGCGAGAGATCGTCCCCCACTATTCGTGTGAGGACACGGCGCTCACTCTCGAACGCTGGACATTCGTCCAGCGTGTGTTGCGCCGTGTCCTCAACACCTCCGCACTCGTGGCAGCCGGTCGTCGGCTCCTTCCTCGCCACATGACACAGATACCGCCCGAAGCAGCCGTGCCCGGACAGTATCTGCGTCATGCGGTACGTCAGTGGCCATCTCCTATTCATCCACCTTTTGAGGATGGGACGGACAGCCTCGACGGTCCTCAGGCCGGCCGATGGACTGGCCAGCCTTTCTCTCCACCTGATCCTGAGGATCCGCCGAAAGTCGGACCTCCGCGCTCCAATCTCATGGCCAGCGGGTGCCTCCCCCATGGAACGTCGCTCCGCGCGCAGTATACACTGACGCGTGGAGCTCCGCTACCAAGTCCCACGGAGGAGACCCCGCCAGCAGACCCGCCGCTTCCCCGGATATGGTGCGGTAGCCTCTTATGGCCCGTATGGCCATGACCCTGTGTGGCCTGTTGAGGCACGCCCCAACCTAACCTAACCTAACCTAACCTAACCTAACCTAACCTAACCTAACCTAACCTAACCTAACCTAACCTAACCTAACCTAACCTAACCTAACCTAACCTAACCTAACCTAACCTAACCTAACCTAACCTAACCTAACCTTTTTTTTTTTTTTTTTTTTTTTTTTTTTTTTCGAGGGGAAATGTTCAAAACAGAACCGTCCGTCTTTATGAGAGGGTACGGACGGATACTGTGGGACTTGACCCACCAAAACCCCCCGGTGTTCCTTCGCACCACGAAAATCCGCCGGACGCACGGGAGCATAATATTCGTCCGCACGCCGGCCGCGTTCTCCATGACAGAGCCGCCTCCGAGTGTGGGTTACGGGGACCACTCCGTACCCACCCTCCACGGACCACTCCTCGCCAATGAGCTTTGGATGCCCCCACATCCGCCGCTCTGAGGGTCCAGAAAAGAGTGTTGGGGCCTAGGGCGTAAACCACCGCCTTCGGCCCCCCACCAGTAGGCCGCGGCCCGCGCCTGCGTCGCACTAAGCACCCCAGGCGAGACCACGTATCGCCACGCTAGGCAGGGCGGCGCTGAAGGCACCGCCCCGCCCGGTGCCCCGACAGGTCGGGGCCAACACGCACACAAGGCCGACAATGACGTCAAACGGCTGACGTGGTCGGCAATGTCCGCCGGGCCGCGTGAAGCGCAACCCGGGGGCTCTCTCCGGACGAGCGCAGCGGCGCGAGCGTCACTGCGCCCGTTGCCCCAATTCAGGGGCCACACACACACAACACGCACACAGGTATTCACACACGCACGCCCCATCCCCCGCGGTAGCGCGCGCGCGGCCGAACCCCCCGCTGACGGGGGCGCCGGCCGCGCGCGCCCAGCCCTCCCGCTCCGCCGACCGTCCGAAAGCGGACGCAAGGCAAGAGAGGGTGCGAAAGAAGAGGGCCTACGCCGGATGGACAGACGGACACTGAGTGTCCATCGCCTCCGGGTCTTCTCCGGAACGCACCGTAGCACGGTCCTCGCCAGCGCGGCATCGCGATCCGCCTACCTCGTGGTTAGCCTCTCGGCCAACCGCTGCACAATGGAGGCAGTGAGCCGCCGCGGTACATGAAGGAGCATTGTGCCCTTCCTGTCCGCAGCGGAAACACCTACCACTGTACCTTACCTTCCTATTGCACCTGCGCCCGGTATGACCAGGGAGCAGGCAACAATAACACCTCATAGGTCTTGACTTTAGCAGCTCAACCCGAGCCGCCATCCAGCCAACCATAAGCCGACCTGCATCACTCAGCTGCCGCTGCTACAGGGCAGCGAACAAAGGCGTTGCCGCTTCCGGAGGGGCCACGATGAATGTCCCCGACGCGGACAGACGCCGCAGCACACCCTCCGGCACGGACAACCGCATCCACCACGTCAGGCACCGAAACCGAATCATCCAGGTTCCAAATGCGCAAGTCCACCATCTTGTCCGGTCGACTGACCCTAACGTTCTCACCAGTAACTCGTCTCACTCTCTCCACAAGGGAGTCCGCCTTATCATCACTAGTGGCTGCCGGGAGCTGTAACAGCCGCGCACCGGTAGCCGTAACCCTAAATTTCACTGCTTCTATACCAAGGTCAGAAATGTCTACCCTGTCCTTCACATCCTTGAACACTGAGGCGTAAGTTACACCTCTTGCTTCGGCCTCCGGCTGTATATCGATCACTACAACCGAGGACCGAGGCACGCGTAGTTTATTAGGCGCACGCACCTGCTTACTCGCGTCCCGTCGAACGGGAGCTCTCACGTCCTTGTCATTGTTCACTTCAGGGGGTCTTTTACCCTGCTTGCGGCGTCGTCGCACCACCGTCGTCCACTTGTCGTCGGCACCGGGCACGGGCCCGCTCGGCGCCGCCGACGCCGCCGCCGCCGCCGCCGCGTCTCCGCGGACGGCGAGCGGGGGACGCGGCGGAGCGGGCGGTGCGCCGCGTCGCGGTGCCGTCGTCTGCAGCGGGGCCGCGGCGGCGCGCGGCCGCGCGGTTATGCCACCTTCAATAGCGCTCAGTCGCCGGTCCAGTTCCCCGAAACGGGAATCTAGGACGGCTTCTAAGCGCGCCGCAGCAACAGTGTCAAGAGGGCGCGGCGAGACATCTGAGGGGGGCCCGGGACGTGCTTCTAGTAGCGCCCTCAGCCTCCGCACCTCGCCACACTTCCTGTCCACTGTTTCCCTCAACTCATCCCTCTCAGTAGTGAGAGACGCACAGTCCTTCTTTAGTTCATCACGCACTTCTTTCAACTGTTTAATACGCTTACGCGAGGCGTATCTTCTCGCCTCGAGGTCACCGTATTCACTGACCACTTCCTCTCGCTTCAATACGACTTCCTCAGTCTCTAAGTCCTCCTCAAGTACCGTCTTTACATTGCAGAGGAATTCTGCTACACAGTCAGCAGCGTCCGTAGCGGCCTTGACGACCTCCTCCCGGGCTGTGGAACTCATCCTCACCTTCTCCAGTATGGTTTTCACCTTTACTGGCAACAGTTTTAACGGCTGTAAGCTCGAATAGGCTTCTATTTTCACCTTCTTCAGGAGTGAGCTGCTGAATAGCATCATCAACTCCGCAGTGGACTTGCTAAACTCCAGGACTTGCTGGCGTCCTTCCTCTGCCATTACGACGCGGTGCGTCTCTTCTGCAGCCGAGCTGCTTAGCTCCTCGGATGATGAACCGTGAGGGTTCACCCTCATCCTCTTCGCTCCTACAGACGATGTATCTTTATACATCGTGACAGCACACAGTACAAAATAAACACAAAATCACGGGTCCTATCCCTTTCGTCACTACACAATAAACGTTCACAGTTATTCACAACGAAAACATGTCAGAACAAGTTTTTTTCCACAATATATATGAACTAGACTGCCTAGTAACAGCACCGAGGCGGCGGCGGGTCGAGGGGACCCGACCGGCGCCACCGAGGACCGCGACACGCGACACGCGACAGAGAGCAACCGTGCACACGTCCGCACGCCACGGCAGCTCGAACGCGACTCCGAAAAATGTGGTCAAGTTGTGCCTTAACCATTTTGTGTGTTCCATCCTTGTCAAGGGGAGTGCTAACCGTCTCTCCTTTCAATAGACACATAAAAATGTGGTCAAGTTGTGCCTTAACCATTTTGTGTGTTCCATCCTTGTCAAGGGGAGTGCTAACCGTCTCTCCTTTCAATAGACACTAACCTAACCTAACCTAACCTAACCTAACCTAACCTAACCTAACCTAACCGAACCTAACCTAACCTAACCTAACCTAACCTAACCTAACCTAACCTAACCTAACCTAACCTAACCTAAACCTAAACCGCAGGTTCCCTTTG